TACTAAACATAGTTTGTCATCTCGATTCTTGGAAATCCCCAAATTTGTGATTTTTTGTGACCTGTGGATTATTTCTATTTTCGAAGTTCTGTGATTTTAGCTATATAGCTGCGTGTTCTTGATTCTTGAACATGGAAACCGTCTAAGTTGTCTCTAGGAATTATATGACTGTAGTTTATTGTGATTTTACTTTGATTTTGTTAGTATTTGAATTTATAGTAGATATATTTAGTTTATTTTTGATTTATTGTCAATAAAATATAAAATATATTGAATTAATGGCATAAAAGTAGACATTAGACATGCAAAAAAATATACGCGAAACATGCGGTTTAAAATCGGACAAAACCCTTAAGTTTTAGGTTTAAGTTTTTTTCAAACCGGTCAAAACGGTTTGGTTTAGGTTTGAGTTTTTCTCAAATAGGTTGAAACAGTTTAATTTGAAAATTTGTCAAAATTCGGTAAAATCGGACTGCTCACACCCCTATGAGCCCCCAACCTTCAAGAAAAACCTAATGGAACCAACAGTTCTTATTGCACACCTTTTTTGGTGGGGAAGTACTTTACTGAAAAACTACATGATCACGCCAGAATCTAACATCTACTAAAGGAAGCTTGTCCTACATAAAGGTAGCATCTGGTTCTTCCCATGATGAAAATAAAAAGATTGGTTGAAATCTAAACAGAATCTAAATCAAAGATAAATTTTCCACACGAGGAAATCTGACCTCTAGATGAATACATGACCAATATATTTATAGACTCCTGCAACCTCATTTTACTAAAATTTTAATCTGAATGGGTTCCATATGCAAGGAGTCCTCAGAAATATCGTCAGTAGCGCCAGATAATGATCAAGAAACAGACACAGGTTTTCGTGGAAAAAGTAAACATTTGGGACAAGATCGAAACAAGATCATTACTGAAGCTAAAGGGTCTAGCCGTTTATTCCGGAGGAGAAGTGATAGTCTATATACAGTTTCCCCAAGCAGCAGCCGATTTGGTGTTAATATATCTGGGAGACCTCCAGGAGCGAAGAGAGCATTTATTTGCGGAGTGAGTTACAAGAAGCAGAAGTTCAGGCTCAGAGGAGTTGTAAATGATGTGTATAGCATGAGAGATTTCCTTGTTAATCAATTCAATTTTCCGCGTGATTCCATTCTCATGCTATCAGGTATCATCCATTATTTTCTGTCTTTTCTGCAGTAAAAGTTGTGTAGGCCAATGGTTAACATATTCATTAAACTTGCAAGTTCATAACATATTTTCCTTCTATTTTGTTGGTTTTTTCTCCTTTATCTTGTTTCCGGTTTGGGTATATTCCCTTGGTCATGCTACATACTTCTAGTTGGCTTTGTATGGACCTAGTTTACTTCAACTTGTGTATGTCAAGTCTTTCTCATAGACAGTGGTTGAGGTCCATCATCCATGCCAAACTCCGCGTTGTATAGGCGGATTTCTATTTGGAAAAGGTGAAGTACTCTCAGGACGATAATAGAATTCTCCCAACAAATATATCTCAAAAATTCATATGGTTGCTGTAACAATATAATTTGACACGTGTTTCGCCGCAAAAGATCAGGTCTACGAGGTTTTTCAGAAGTTATATTGTGAAGTAAATTGGCTAACATGATAGACAGTGGATACTAGATATGAATAACTGAACAACTAATTTTTATCCGTTCTCTTACTTGTACCCTCGACCCAATCTTCTAAGGATAGAGCCAAAGACAGATTCTATGGCATGCATGGACCTTGGTTAAATGCATCTCAGTGTGATATTCTGTAATAGATATAATGTATTTTCTTGAAAATGACAAAACAGAACAAAATTGCAGAAGAGGATTCTCATATGCCTCCAACAAAGAAGAACATTGAAGATGGTTTCAAATGGCTAACAAGAGACCTGCGATTTGGGGACTCCTTGGTTTTCTACTATTCAGGGCATGGCTTACGACAACCTGATTTTAACAATGATGAGAAAGATGGATTTGATGAAACGATATGCCCCGTTGATTTTAAAACTGAAGGAATGATTGTTGACAATTATATAAATGAAGCCATTGTTAGACCACTCATGCAAGGTGTGACACTCCATGCGATCATCGACTCTTGTCACAGTGGAACCATGCTTGACTTGCCACTAGTCTATAACAAAACCACGTATGTGATTTTTTTATTTATGTTTCTTCGAGCTTTGATTTAATTCTGGTAATTTATTATTTTGGTTCACAGAAGATGTTGAGTTCCATAATAACAAACTAAATTTTGTTCTCAACAAATGTGAGGTTGGCTGCATGAATCTTTTTTTGCCATTTTGTTTGGTTCAACGTTAGATCGAGCAACTACAGGCTATGTTAGTTTTGATGTGTCCTACTCCTAACCTGTTAAATTGAGATTGCGTTATTCTTACGAACAAGAGCCCGTTTTAGAGTTTACAAAACATGTCTCAAGTACTTGAGTCGTGGTTCCCTTAATTTATCCTCGAGTTTTCATTTCTTATCTTATTCATTTTAGCAAACTCACATCCATCACCATCCTCGTTTGGTTCATTGCTCTTAGGTACCTTTTCTCATTTATCAGCCCAACACTCACACTATCAATTATCATAGAGAATAGCTGGTCAGAATCATAATTCTCTTTTTTAGGCTCATTTCACGTGCAACTAGCTGGTATACTGCTGATTTCACAGCCATACTGCTGCTTATCTTTCTTTGAGTCTAGTATGGTGGACAGTGCCAATGGTATGACCTTCTTCATTGTAAATGTGATGCAGTAAGTTAATGAATAAAGATTCTTCCTAGGGTCACCTTCAAGTTTTTTGACAAATCTTTTATGCACACGAGTTCACCAGGATGAGAAGAAAAGGTCGGAGATTTCGGGCATAAAACTAAATTCACTTTTTTACTTTCTTAGCATGCTCAGATTTGTAAAATTTGTCTGCATTGTCTTGATATGATCTCAATGTTTTTCATTTGGGTTTTTCATCAGGGGGAAATGGGATGACAACAGACCTCCATCAGGAGCTTATAAAGGTACAAATGGTGGAAAGGCAATCTGTTTCAGTGCTTGTGAAGATAATCAAAAGGCTGTAGACACCTCCGTTAGTACTTTTCCTTTCATTTTCTTCTTCCTCGTGATCATCATATGGGTACACTTGCAATTTCTAACGGTTTAAGCTTTTAGTTGAAGTGGTTCAACATAGCATTAAAACAGACAAACATATTGGGATCAAGTCTAACCACAACCCATTTATGAAATATCAAGCCTTTGATGTGAAAATGAATGTGGCCTGCACGAGGAGATGCATGTTGAATCCCATCACTAACAGTCTAAGCTTTTAGATCGATCGGTATAATAGCAACTTGAATGACTTTTCTTGCAGGCTTTCTCTGCAGATAAAGTTATGACTGGTGCCATGACATACACATTTATATCAGCGATAAAGAAAGCAATTGCAAACAGTCAAACAATAACTTATTGTGGAATACTCGATGCTATGCACAGAACCCTTGATAATGACAACAAAAGCCTCCACGCTAAAGTTGCTCGATTCTTTCGCCGCAGGATCATTCAGGCATGTCCATCCTTAAGTTGAATGTCTTCTCTAACAAATCACTTAGCATACTGTGTATATATTACACGTAAACATGAAATAGTAGGCGATAAAATAGCTGAAAGACACGAAAAAAGAAAGAATATGAAATACAGCAAATGATTGTAGCAGTACCTAGTTATATGATCAAATCCAATGTGGATCCTAAGCTTCAGTTTTCTGTCTACAAATTGAAAGTTACGACTTCAGAAATTGTTACAAGATTTCGATGAATCACGTTCTTAGACAACAGAGATTCTTGTTTCGCAAATCAACATCACAGATTTCAAATCACCACGGTTTCTCATAAAAAAAGACAAAAATCTATTGTTCTTGTGATCATTCTTGTCTTAATTTACTTAAAAAGTCGCGGAATTCATAATTATTCAGATAATTCCTGAAGAAAATCTCTTGGTATTTTGTCATGGTTGTTACTTTATGTGCAGGAACCACAGTTATCATCATCCGAGGAGTTCGACATCAACACAGAGTTCAAGCTCTGATAATGCAGAGTGGCATATGTATTCATCTTTCACTCTACTATTAACAATCCACTGGCTGTTCTAAGTTTACTGCACACAATCTTAAGAAATCATCTGATCTTGCTCTCAACTTTCATCAGCTATTGTTATGTAATAAAACTGTATTTTCATGTCAATGACATGTCTAAAGAAATAAAAGTTTATAGGAATTGAAAAATGAGAATAAAACCGACAACAAAAGATTTGTTACAATTGTAATGTAACCTATTTGACTAAATACGTCAAGATCGACACGAAGTGTTAAGAATCCAAAAAGGAAACTACTCATTCCTTGATATCGAAGTAATAGAGCATCTCCAATGCGTTTAATAGATTGTCATCTGGACGGCGCTCAAGTTAAAGGCTTGCTATTTACGTGGAATTGATGTCAACAACTCAATATTTATCTTGATGGAATCTATTATTTTTTTGATAAAATAATAAAAATAAAACTATATATAGCGAGCCATTATTTTAAGAAAATTGAGTTTTGAATAGTAATATTTTAGAGAATTTGTGGATAAAAAATAAGAAAGAGTTTTCAATTTACATGCAAATATTTGAATTAGGACCCTCTAATTAAACTTTTAATTGTATTGGTCATTACCAAGGAACCACTAATATATGTAGAATGCTTGATTTATTAATTTATCTAGAAAACAAATTGGAGCTAACGTAGTCCATGAATTTTTCTTGTAAACAAATGGAAGTCCATGAGTCCATGCCAAATTAATCATACTCTAAGCTAGAAAAAAAGTTTTCATGTCCTACAAGGTGTAACAATTATTAATATAAAGCTGAAAATATTATTGATTTCATAAAGACTAGTCACAGCTAAACGTGCGTTGCACGTTATTTTGAAATGCTTTATAAACACTTTAAAAATTATATTTGAAAATTAATGAATATAAAAAATAGTTAAAAAACTGTTTATGTGATATGAACTTTTTATACAATTCAATTATTTATTTACGTTTATGATAATAATTAACATTAATTTATATATATCCTACTATAATTCAATCAATTAATTTTTTAAGTTCATGCATGTACACTTTATATAATTTGGGGGTTATTCAATTACTCTAGAAATACTACAATTCAATTATTTATGTATGTGCATGTATACTAATTAACATTTATTTATTGATATATTAAATATAACATTAAATCATCAAATTTATGTACACATGTTTTGGGAGCTATTCAATTATTTTAGGATTAAATAAATTATTCAAGTTCATGGACGCATATATATTTTCAAAATTATTCATTTTATCATATAATTTGAGAGATATACAATTATTGTAGGAGTAGATAAATATTCAAGTTCAGTACACTTATTTAATTTCAATATTATTCATTCAATCTATGATATAAAGCAACTTGTCTAAATGTATATATTTTTTTCTATATTCATTGATTCAAATTAATTAAATTCCATGTTGGTTCACTTATACCTCATTTGTTTAAATTTGATTCAAATTAATTAAATTTCATGTTCATGAATCGATTTGATTGTTCTTATACGATATAAACAAATTAATTAAATTCCATGTTGGTTCACTTATACCTCATTTGTGTAAATTTGATTCAAATTAATTAAATTTCATGTTCATTAATCGATTTGATTGTTCGTATACGATATAATTATTGATTTGCGTACATTTTTAATTAATTAATATTCAATTAAATATATATTAAAAAGAAAAGTAAGGTACTATTGAAATAATTAAATTGCAGTATGGTTAAAATCGTCCAAAAAATGATTCTCACTTGATGCGATATTTAATATCAATTAAATATATATTGAAAAACGAAAAATAAGGTACCATTGAAAGAATTAAATTGTAGTATGGCTAAAATTGTTCAGAAAATTATTCTCACTTGATGCGATATTTAATATATTATAGAAATAAATAAACTGTTATATAAATATATTATTCTCACTTGATGCGATATTTAATATACGTATATTACATTTTTTTGTTATATTAATAATAACGCCGCAAATTTCATATGATATTTGTACTAACATTGCAACACATTCAGACAAAATAAAATAGACATTGTATAAATTAGATAAATTTTCTTCAAATTTAATTCAAACTACATCGAACGAGTACAACAATAAGTGGTTTAATGATCGTCATCGTTAAACCCATGGAATGCACCATAATCACTGCTAGCAATACTAGTGTATCTATCTTCCTGAGTATCGTCCCAAGAGTACTGTGGATGATACGGTTCGTCCACCAGCTGAATCCTAAATTTAGATATAAGTATAATAGAAAATAAAACAAAATAATGGCAACAGTGAATAGTTGATCGATAACTATTAACTGTTGCCATTTTTAATATCAAAAAAATGTAATATACGAAAAATAATGGCAACAGTTAATAGTTGATCGATAACTATTAACTGTTGCCATTTTTAATATCAAAAAAATGTAATATACGTACATTAGAAATTATTAATGAAAAATAAAAGACAAAAATAATACATTACAAAAAGACCAAAATTAAAAAAAAAAATACTAAACAAAACAATTGAAAGACAAAAACAAAAAGGTTGTCTGCCGTCGAAACCAGCGACTGACAACCACATTAAATAAAGCAAGGCCTGCTTTGCCTTTGATTAAAATCTCATGCAAGACAAAGCTTATAACATTCTCATGCGCGAGGCGCACAGGAGAATGGGATTGTACAAGTGCATTTGCATGAAAATCTCATACAAGGCAAAGCTTATAACCTTCTCCTGCGCGAGGCACGCAGGAGAATGGGACTGTACAAGTGCATTTGCATATTGTTTTTATACTTATCGATATCAATTTTTTATAGATTATTATTTATTATTAAACAAATTGAAAGAAAATAATTCATTTAATATTTAGTCTAATAAAATATAGTAATCATTTTAGAGAAAATGTGACTTTTTAATAATCGAAATAACATTCCGTCATGTTGGGATATGAATGGCAAGGGAGCAAGACTCAACGATCCCTCTAAGGACCCGATTGCAACGGGGTGAGGATTCCACAACTGATCAGGAATGAGGATAAAGTCTCTAGCTCGAGTTGAGAACGGGATGGTGAACATGTCCTCGCATCGATTAGTAAATATATTTTATTTCAATATTTTATATTATATAAAACCCTTGTTTGAGTCCTATTTTTTCATCGAAATGTATCTTGAACAGTGATTTGACATCATTTCAATTGCATATTTTTCGATAAAATAAGCGATCACAAATTCAATTTATAATTGATTCAGATAATGTAATTTTGTCTTACAGGAGTGTTGTCAACTTAGATTTTAATAAATTTCTTCAAATTTATGGATATGGATTCTCATGAATTTCATTGATTTGCGTAGAATTTTCACATGTTTTATAAATATTTTTTATCAAGTCATTCTTCCATGTATTTTGAAAGTAAAAAAAGTTCATCAAAATTGAAACGAGTAAGTTCCCACATGTACTGAAATCATTAAAAGAACACCCAATAATTTATTGGGCAATATACAAATTATTTGAAATATGGGAAAGAAATAAAAAAGAACTAAGGACTATATTTCATTTTGCTGTGGAGATGCTTGCCCAGTGCTGAAAGTTCAAGAAACTAGTGACCGACAAAGGAACTCATAAATGCATGTTATGCGCTTATTCGCACTTCTGTTCTTATTTATTTATATGTAATTTAAACGAATATTTACTTAATTGTAAAGACTATTTTAATCGTAGAAAAATCTCAACTTAAATACAATATATGTGAAAAAGGCTATTTAAAACGTAATTGTAGTTGATTTGAAGCAATTGAAGATTATTCTGATTGCAATATATCAATTGGAAGTATTAATGGAACATTTGATAAAAATCATACGTTTCGAGAGTTAAATGAAGCAATTAAAAAGTTTGAAGACTAAATTACAAACTTTCCAAACACGCCTCTGGACAACTACAATGATTTTAGAATGAAGAAAACTTAATTGCAAATATTAGAAGATGAATGATTAAAATCACGTGATAAAAGGAGTTCAAATGGGAAATGCATTTGTTTTTTTCCCTCAAACTCTTTGAGGAAATTAATTTGAACAAGAATTTTACCTAAATCTTGTTCTATAAATACATACCTTAATCCAACAATTAAAGGAGACTTGTAGGATTCTATTAGACGCATATATTCAAGCTGAGGCATGTAGATTTTATTATACACATTATACAGACCCGAAAGGAAGGAAAAAAAAAAAATCAATCAAGAAGCTAGGTTTAAAGATTTTACAAGAAGAATGTGGAATCTTGATCCAAGATCTTCAATGTTTTTCCTTTTTTCCTAAGACTCGGTAATGTACTTTAATTCATTCTTATTTTATACTTCTCAAATGATGTATAATTAAGTAATTAGTTAGGATGAATGATTGTAACCTAGTTTTGAACCTTCATGTTAATTAAAAAGTTTTAAATCTCCAATTGATTTTGCGAAT